GTATCCACAGTTGAATAGAAGATAGTTGAACATGTCATAGCTATTCCTTGACCGATCATCGTCAATTCGTAGTTTGGACTGATGTTTACGTCGTAGGGGAAATAGCCGCGGAAGAACAATTTATTGTCGCTGTGTTTCAAGGAAAAAAGTCGTAGCAACATGTAAGCGACGATTACGAAATTGCAGAGTATTGCGGAGCTTATCGTGATCTTCCTACTTATCCTCGCGGTGTTCACCATCCGTTCTCGTCCGGCTTTCGTTTCCACCGTGGCCCAATCCTTGGCTATGCACCTCAGCAGAGACTTCAATGCTTGGAAGAGGGGAAAATGGCGGCTAGAGTACGTCTTAAAAGTTTGTTTCGTGTAGTAATGAAATTCTTTCTGCTATTTGTAATAGTAGTTCCAGTTTGTTAATTATGCTGTTTACCAGAAAATATTACACTGTTCACATAGAGATTGAGTTTTAATAAATCTGTAAGTCACATATGTTTTTCGGGATGTTATTATTTGTAAATTTATGAGACTCCAATCTTCCAATTCTGCAAACTGCGTTTCTGCTGTTTCGTTAAAAAAAGAAAAAAAAAAGTGAAATGTTGAAAATTTCATTCGTGAAGCGAATACGGTACAGATAATACAGTCAGTATTAATTTCTGTATTTTCGTCAGTAAAATATAAATTATTTCATCTTAAACGAAAATTGAATATAGTTTGTTAAAACAAGAAACTCTCACATTCGCCTTTCATCCAAAATATTATAGCCTTCGTGAGTGCAATCGTGACAGTCATGTTACCCAGTGATAAATTCTCGACCACCAAATTCAGGTCATGAGCGATAAGCGGTAGATTAATAGTTTGTGGACCCCACAGAAAGCAGAGCATTGTGAGGAATGGTAAGAAAACAACATAACTCGAAGGTCGGTTCCATTTCCTTTCTTCCGGCCAGATACCCACAATTTTCATTAAGTAAAGGTTCCAAGCTAACTGGTAATTCAAATCTAGGAAAATCGGGAATGAATTTAAAAAATTATCAACGATCGCATATTTATAGAATAAGCCAATAAAATATTCAAGTTATATGTGGTTTATATATATGCACTATATTTAAAAATGTAATTCTTGTGCATCTTTGAATTTTGTGTATATTTCACGCATGTATTTATTGTTTCATCTATTTTTAACAATTGCGGTGACGAAACAAAAACTTTTGCAATTACTGCCATTTTTTTGTCTAAATATTTATTAATTAATACGTAAAGTTACCTTGTTTGACGTCCATAGTAGCCAGTTCCCCTGTGACTGTTCCCATATTCTCTGTTCTCTATTCAAGCATCTTCTACGTTTTTTTTAGCGCATGTCTTATCTGCGTGTGCATGTAAAATATACATATGACATCAATTATTCGTGAATAGGGTAGTTCGGTATCGTCCTCAATTGTAGGCTTGGTTGAATATTATAATAAAGTTCAGTTGCCATATGTGTCCTGCTGTTATTATTTATGGTCTTGTTCAATAAGCAATAAGGAGCAACCAGGGATACTTACGTCCTCTCAACGTTTTTACTTGTTAGTTACTGCACCTTTCCCTCATGAATGTACATCAGTATTTGCCAGTGAAAGAAATTTCACCTTACGGAAAGAATAATTCACTAGTTAAAAGTATAATTATTACCGAATTTTTATGTCGACGTCGGAATTTGTCTAAGTGGCAAATATAACATTTAGGAATTTTACGAAACTTAACGTATGCAATTTATAAAATTCAGTTCACAAATTAAATGATTTTATGCTCGAATTTGATTTCTCAAATTGAAATATAAAATATATTATAAACCAAACTGTAATTTAGAATTTAATTTCTTTTTTATGTATAAATCTTTAAACGTGTGCAATTAATGCTTTTAATATAATAATATAATAATATGCAGTTCTGTTAAACTTTCTTTTATACTTGAAATACAGAAGACGAAGATATTTTTATTTTCCACGATGCAAAATCTGATTTTATATTGCACTTTGTGTTTAAATATTAAGAGTACTTTTCTGAAAATGAACAATTTTTACTTACACATTGCTATAAAAATGAAACAATATTTTAAATTTTAAGATATATAATAAATGGTGATTTTCTATGTTTTAATATATTAATAACCGTATTAATGCACGTAATAAAAATTTTATTATCTAGGATGAGTGAATAGTAAAATTAATATCCTAAGATTTTCGATCACTAGTACATAAATGCGATATATCCAATATTCTTACATTTTTATGTTATTGAATATTGTGAAACCTCAATGTGTATTAGATTTCTAATATCACTCTTATTTTCTTTCAGTGACATCGTGATTCGAAGAGGAATAAATTAATAAAATAAGACAAAGTTGTGAATAAATCAATAAAAAAGAAATCGTTGGGAATACTGGAATTTCTACAAAATGTGAGTGTTACACGTCGATTTCACTTGTTTCATCAAATCATTCACGTCAAATTTATTTATACATTTCTTTTGCTAATTCTCAATTTATTTCCTAAGTTTGTTTAATTTATCAATAATTTTCTGCAATACTTTTCAATACTTTAATGCAATTTTTCAAACGATTTTATACGCCACGTATAAATTTATTTTAAATAAAAATAATTACCTTTGATCATAGTATGAATCAGGCTCAAAATTGACTTTACAATGAACAGATTTCCATACTTTTGACCTAAACAAATTTTGTAAATACTTTCATTTGATCACGTGTGAACGATTGTTCTACAGTCATAGTTAGACTTGGCATGATTCATTCGTTCCACCATTGCTAGTATGAATCATACTTAAATACTCGTTAATCGTTCGTAATACTGGGTTAACATTGAGCAAAATTGTTCAGAAGAGCTACCAAAAATTGATCGCATCCAACTGTGAGTTATCCTAGAGAAGTGTGGTTCCGGCATAACAAAGTAAGGCCTTCAATATGTCCTCTTCGAGTTTGTGAACATAGTCTTTGATTGGCTCGACCGCTTGAATATTGTTGCAAACCTGATCACAGTTCATTAAAATGTTCTCACTACTGTTGGCAAATAGCGTTGGTATGAACGCGGCATAAGTAATCGAATACGAATAAACTTGGAGTATCGAAGAAATGGTAAAGTGTTGTGAAACAAAGAAGATAAAAATGATATTATTGAGGATTCGCAGGAAATATTTTCTAGGTGAATTTCATTTTAATAGTTTTATTACTCTCTATAACATTTGATTCTTCATCTCGTTTCTTCCTTCTGGAGCATATCATAAAGAAAAAAAAAAGAAAAAAAATACTGATTTATTCCCTTCGTAGTATTTGCTCATATTCACTCATATTTGAAGCGATGAATGATTGTAAAGTTTAAGAAACTATAGAATTGCCTCTCTTAACCTTTCGTTGCATACAATACAGAAATATACGAGACTGAGGTTTTCACAATCTGAAATATATAAAAAGACTATAAGAGTGAATATTTTAATCCATTTTTATTCAAATATTAATATATTTCTAATATTACAAATTACCTCATAGTTTGGCAACTACAAGCGAATATTGAAAGAAAAATTTTCGTTAAAATTAATTC